GCAGCTGTAGCCAAATGCCATTTAGCGCTTGTCTACATGTAGAATAGAAAACCAAATTATATGGAATTGACGTAAATTTTGACACTTGTCAGTGTCATCCCCATACATTTAGTTTTCTACTCTCTTTGTAGACAAGCGCTAAAGTGGCGTTTGACTAAAGGGACAAGAGTTCCGGAGATTAGCGCATCAAAACAAATTCTTCAGGTTAGGATAGATTAGTTTCTGCAATGGCTTTGCCCGCGTTAATGCTTCTACTGCTAATGCTATTCAAGATAGCCGTAACCATAGATTGCTTACCATCAGGTGATCCGTCTGCTCGTTTCTCATCGACAGCCTATAAATGGCCACTGATGGGCAAAGCCTCTTCTCATACGGAGAAGGTTTGAGCATTAAACACCACGCTTGCTCAATGCGTATTACAAACGTATAATTAGAAATTATAAGCCCAGGTTTCCTCACGATGTTTTCCTTCACCGTTTGTCAGTGGTGTCTAGATAATCTTAAAAAGTACATATAACTCGGAAAAAGTCACATTGGTACTTGCCGTTGGCAGGTTTCGAACCCTCATTCACGAGAAGCGAGCGTCTTAAACCTCCGGGCTACCACGACATGCTGTGTTGTTAACCGACCTATAGTAGAGAAACTAAGTGAAATATATTCATCCCTTTCACTCACCCGCATCTGAGAGTTGTCTAGAGCGAGATAGTCGCAGTGTTTGCAAGCTATATCTCTTTTCATACCGTGGTGGGATCTGCAGTGACGCTTCAGTTGATGGGAACCTATGAACCTTTTGCCACAGAACTGGAAATAGAAAGATATTTTCTTAATTTATAGCTTAATCGTGGGAGTGATACCACGGCCACACAAGACGCTGGTATTGGCATTTGTTCCACCACCAACAAGTACATGGCTAACTATTAGCTGTTTTTTTAAACCGGTAAATGAGCAGACGGATCACCTGATGGTAAGCAATCCGAATCGCCAATGGACACACGGAACACCAGAGGCGTTACAAATGAGTTACCGGCCTTTTGGGAATTAGGAATTTGAGGATTGTTGAGATTCAGGGATTAGGCCTCCGGTAACCTCACTCACACGACGAAACAACGCAAACTGAATATACTGAGAAAAGCTCTACTAGTTTCGAACCACAGAGGGGTCCTCATAAACAGCGTGCGCGGTCGCGGCGATTCCCGTAAATACATACATAACATCACGCCTTTTATCCCCGAAAGGGTAGGCAGAGTTGCACATTACGGCACTTAATGCCACTGTACAATGTAACACCCACCTTTCACTATTTATGAGTCCCATGTAATAGGGGGGGTAAGCCTATTGCCATATACCGGGCACAGTTCCAGACTCCGTGCTACCACTGAGAAAAACCCAGTAATACTTTGCCCGACCCGGGAATCGAACCCGTTTCCCGTAAATAACCTGTGATTTTTTATTTAATTTATTATGTCTTACGATAGTTAAGTTATTACAAAAACAATGCAAACGTTGTTTCGCCGTGTGTAATAACCAGTTATCACCAGGTGGTTGGTGTTGTTGGTGGTCTGTGGTTTCTGCGTACAGAAACAGTGTGGACAAAATTGTGAGATTATGTATTACTAGCGACCCGCCCCGGCTTCGCACGGGTGCAATATGCATGTATTATACATATAAACCTTCCTTAATAAATACTCCATCTATTAAAAAAAACCGCATCAAAATCCGTTGCGTAGTTTTAAAGATCTAAGCATACATAGGGACAGACAGACCTAGGGATGTGTCGTAACAGGCGTTGCACCGTGGAGGCTCCAGAGCAGGTCTCTTTTAGAGGACCCGGTGCCTTCATTCAGGTGTTGAGGGTGGCCACCGGGGTGGTTTTAGTGAGGTAACACTCCCACACTCCCTAGTCTTTTATCCCCAAAAGGCTAGGCGCCTTTTGAAGGTCATCAAAAAAAAGGGATAGACAGACGGGGGATAGCGACTTTGTTTTATATTATGCAGCGAGTTAGGTTTAGGTTGTGGGTGAAGGTAAAAGGGTTTTTAAAAACAATTGTTTACGCACAAGAATGGAAATTTCTTTAGTGAAACTCAAAAGAACTTTAGAATTATGTGTATTACAATAATTTTTGGAGACATAGAAAGCAGAGATGGTGACTGTTCGATCGGTAGTAGAATAGACTGGTGCAACAATCTACCCGCTGTTGAAGATTGTAAAAATAAATGTCATATAAAAATAATTTAACTAGACGTAAATCATCTAACGACGAATTGCTATGCGTATTGAAGTAGGCGCGTACAACAATATATTAGGTGTGTTCCGCTTGAAGAGCAGAGCAAGACTGATCTTTATTAAAGAGTACATGAAGGCTTATCTAAATAATAAAGGAATATAAACTAAGCAATGGCTTCCTATTACAAGTACCAGGAAGTGATACGTGATGTAATCATCCTTACTAATTTTATAAATTGGAAAGTGAGTTTGTTTGTTTGTTTGTTTATTCCGCTTTCACGCTGTAACTACTAAACCGATTGCTTTGAATTTTTGCAGACGTTAGAAGGCTGGAGGCTTAAATTAATAGGGTACTGTTTATCCCGGAAAAATTTGATATTCCAGAGGGAAAACAAAAGTATTGGTATAGATGGCGCTGCATGTATTGGTATGTCACATAGGCTACTTTTTATCCTTTTGTGACGCGAGCGAAGCCGCGGGTAAAAGCTAGTATTATCTAATTACGTCTAAGTGACAATGGTGGTCATTGTGTAATGACCCTGTTACTGGGACATACCTAGTCATCATCATCATAACATCACGCCTTTTATCCCCGAAGGGGTAGGCAGAGGTGCACACAGAAGTAACACCCACTTTTCACTATTTATGTTATCGCATATAAAATCGAATCCAATATGTTTCTTCGCGTGACTCAAAAAACAGTGCCAATTCCTTGATATACTCTTGCATACTTTACACTTTATTGGTCCCTTAGGGTCAAATTGACCATCAACCAAAGACAAATACTGTAACCTCTTCTCTTTACTAGAAACTCTTCTTAACTCTATGCCAATAGGTAATTTTGTCATGTCAACGTGTTCATCCAATTTGTCGATTGTATGAGCTTTTAATTCAGGGAATCCATTCACAATTTCATAATCATCTAAATTTATATCGTCAATTCTATTATCTATTACTATTTTGTCGTCATTTTTTGTATATCTCACTGATATGTCACCGGTTTTTGGATTCCCTGATTTTACGTCTTGATTTTTATTATTATTTGTTAATACTTCATCTTTATCTGAATTTACGTCTTCAATATCGTTGTTATCGTCATCGTTTTCTCTAGTTTCTGATACGTCATCACCATTTTCGTAAGTACCTTCGACTGTTATGGTTTGTTCGCCAGTTTTTTGGTAACCAGCTTCCAACAATTTGGCCTCGCTCTCCTCGCTTCTATTTCTTAGATATATAGCTGAATACACGTCTAATTTACATTTTTCGCATATCATTTGAGGTAGACCGTCGTTTGGTTGTATCTGTAATTTATTAACTCGTCGAGTACCGGTTTTGTAGACACAATTATAGAACAATAGGTTGCGGTCACCGGTGACCGCTTGGTGTTTGACAGTTTAAATCTTATCTTATACTTCTTATACTATTACTAGCGACCCGCCCCGGCTTCGCACGGGTGCAATATGCATGTATTATACATACAAACCTTCCTTAAGAATCACTCTATCTATTAAAAAAACCGCATCAAAATCCGTTGCGTAGTTTTAAAGATCTAAGCATACATACGGACATACAG